TTTCTTGCCTATTTAAGTGTCTGAAAGAGTGATAATAACAATTACTTTATTCTGATTTCAACCTCTTTATTCCATCTTATCACCTATTCTCGTGTATCAAATCTTTGAGTAATTGAGAATACATCAGAGGTATCTACACATATTTGTTTTTTGCCCCGCATATTTGCAATAAAATTTCCATATCTGATAGAATATAAAAAATAAAAAAATGCATACCGAATATCTTGAAAAAAGTGTTTCGATTTACAGAAAAACCCAAACCGAATGACAAGAGGAAAATGTTTCGGTACGCAACATGTTAGAACCTGAACACATTTGTGAACTGTTCCGATACCTTAAAAATTTTCATATAAACCGAAACACTTTATTCAAGTCTTTTGAAATTCATATCTTTCAAAATCGAATGCTTTACTGAAAGTGTTCCGATTCATATTAATACATACGAGAAATCATATTTAATGTTTTCTGATTCGAATGTGTAGGAGTGCAATTTTCGAAAGTCTTTTGTAAATATTAAAAAATAAAATATTAAATTAGTTAAAAATATGTAAAGGTGAAAATGTCATATTTGAAAAATTATTAGGATATAGTATATAGATGTAGAGGTATAAGGTAAAGTTTTCGATAAAAGAATTTAGTAATTTGCAAAATGATGTAAGCCCAATAAAATAAGGTAGGTATTGAAGGCCCAACCCGAATAAACCCTACAACTGAAAACCCTATTTTCATTTACATATATAAAGCAAACTCACCCTTTGCAAGATTTAGTTAAGAGAGACGACAAGATGTCGAAGAGAGGTAAGAGCCGATTTTTAATCCTTGCAAATATTTGCGTTAATTGGCTATTGTCGACGATAGTTTTGTGAGTATTTATTCTTTGATTTGAATGATCAGGTCGCGGTGGTTCCGCTGGAAACAAGTTCCGCATGTCGCTGGGTCTTCCAGTGGCTGCGACGGTTAATTGTGCTGACAACACCGGAGCGAAGAATCTGTACATCATTTCGGTGAAGGGGATCAAGGGTAGACTTAACCGTCTTCCTTCTGCTTGCGTCGGTGACATGGTGATGGCCACCGTGAAGAAGGGAAAGCCAGATCTGAGGAAAAAGGTTTTGCCTGCTGTCATCGTTCGTCAACGTAAGCCATGGCGCCGAAAGGACGGTGTCTTCATGTACTTTGAAGGTAAACCCTAATTTGATCCATGTTCTTATTATTTGAGTTTGTGGTTTTTTAATTATTTTTCAATTGAAGGTTGCTTCTGTAATTTGTTGTTGAGTGACCTGTGTTCTGATTGGTCATTCACTATGTATAGAAGCATACAACTGTGTTATTGCCAGTTTTAAACAGCATGATGTGTGTTTATTTTGCATTGTGTTACCTGTCTGCTGGTAAATTACAAAATATATATGATTCTTATTCATTGTGCTTTGATGCTTGTACTGTTGCTAACTCATGGTGTGGTTTTCTTCAGATAACGCTGGTGTCATTGTGAATCCTAAGGGAGAAATGAAAGGTATCATTTGTTAATTCATCTGAGTTATCTATAGTAAATTGTTCTTGATATTCAAGCTTCAATATGTTTCATGTTTTTAAATTATCTCTGCTCTTTTTGTAATGGGGATAAACCCATTTTTTTTAATAATTTAAGAGTCTCTGTCTTAATGTTATTGCCAATGTTAATGGAGTTATGAGCTTTCAATCTGAGACCCTATACCACATATTTCAAATCTTATCTACTTGTTAGTTTGCCTTTGCTTCATTCCGAGCCATTTTGCTATAATTATAAATTGCATATTAACCTTTTTGTTATGACTTCTGTTACAGGTTCTGCTATTACTGGTCCTATTGGTAAGGAGTGTGCTGATCTATGGCCTAGAATCGCAAGTGCTGCCAATGCCATTGTTTGAGTGGAATTCTGTTTCAACTATCTTCTCTTTATAGTGTTTAAAGTCTGTTGTAGGCTTAGATTTATTTTATGCCCGGCTTTTTGTTATTCCTTGACTTGTTGCAAGTATACTTTTGAGGGATGCTATGTTTTTGGCTACACAGATTTTATTTGTTTTCTAAAATTATATCCCTTTAGTTATTTTACATTTTATAATTAGTTATATATTTGTTTTTGCCCAAATACATTTATGTCTAAATAGTTTTATGTTTAAGAATTTTGGGTTTACGTTTTTTATAAAGTGGTTACAAAATCCATTTTCACATGGATTGTGAAATTATTGAGGCTACAAAGAGGATTTTCACATGGATTGTGAAATTATTGAGCCTACATTATTGTTAAACGATATAATAGTGTTTTTTCTAAACTGATTTTAAAAGTACAATGGTGTAGCCCAACATAATTTCATTATTGATTGTTGTTTAATGAATAAATTTTAATGAGAATACTAAATATTTTTTCCCAAATGATTACTTTTTTAGTTATCCATTGTAATATTTAGGTTTACAAATTATCTTAAAAATTATCTATCAGAAGTTGAAAATTTTCGGTTCTTATAGCATCTTATGTGTTCTAATAGTAACCTATTTTACTGGGAAATTGATTCACTGACCTTTGCCCGCGAAAGGTAGGGTGCAGTTTGCTCATTTTTTTTCCATCGGATAAATCAAATCTTACTAATATCTTAATAATGACACGTCTCTATTTTATAATTTTCAAATTAGAACATCTCAGTTGCACTATTACACAGTGCACAAATAAATCACCAACACCTCCATTCGTGCTTAGTACACACTCAAATCACCAACACCTCCATTCTTGCCGTTTCTTGATGTCGTCATCATTGGCTGTCTCCGTCTGTCTCCGTCTCCAGTCGTCCTCATCTTGTTTATGTCGCTTAAATCCTTTTGCCTCGCCGTTGATGCCGGCTGCCACTGCACTCTCCAGTCGTCCCTCTTGTTTGCGTCGCTGAAATCCTCTTGCCTTGAAGTGGCCGCCACTGCACTACCCAGGTGGCTGTGCAACTCCACCGTCATGGCTAATTGAATATTGTTGATAATTTTTCAATTTGTTCATTCCTTTTTAAGCCATGTTTTGCAGTAAATACGGTGCACGCTGATGAAGCTTCTCCCGCTGCCCGCTGCCTTCACTGTGTAACATGAGGCAAGGTGGGAGACGAAGGGAGATAGAAGATGACGAATAGATTCGGTTCAAAGCTAAACATAGAGCTTTTCACTTGAATTTTTGTTTTTCAAAAATTAATAAAGAAAGATGGACACGTGACTTTTCTATTGATCACATGACGTATCAAATGGACTTAAACGCACAAAGTTAGAGTGACGTTACCGCGTAAACTTATAATTCGGTTCCATTACACCGAGACATGGTGATCTTGCGGCTTAATAATTTCAGTTAATCCATTATTTAAATCAAGTTACTCGTAGAAACTTGTTGCATTTCTATTCTTTGTTGAGACCGAATTAGCTTGGAGTTAAATCTGGCTCAAGTGTCTGTTTTACTCTTCAATTATCAACCAGAGGAAAACGTGTTAGCCAGCATAAAATTCTCTTTAAGGCCATTTAAACCAAATCCAATAATTTATTTGAGAATAAGTCTTGTGTAATGTGGGTTTGGTCCACAGTGTTCCAACTTCGCCATGCCCCATTTTTTGAGTCTCCAATGTACAATCTGGGACTTGGTTATGTTGCCGAACTTAAAAAAACTAGTTTCTGGTACCAATATCTGATAAATCACTTTCTTCTCCTGTAGACCAAATGATAGGGAGTTATTGTTTAGTAATGTGCAATTGATAATGACTGTACAATTCGTATCCACATTCAATGAATTCCTGTTATTCTATTGCGTTCAACTCACTTTGAAATGTAACTCGAAGTGGTTTGATGTGACTTTGAATAAACACACTAATGCTCAAGCTAGTGTGAGATTAAAGCGTGATTTGCAACTGATCTTCGTGACATTAATCTCACTGATAAGCATATTATTTGTGGAATTGATCTAAGATTATCTATGTGCGTTGAACTGGATCTTCAGCGTGGAAATTCAGTTCATGTAGGCTTTGGACCAATCCGAAACAGTCTTTTGTGTCATGTGTCTTTGCTGTTCTCACTTTTGCAGCATCGACTCCTTACCACACAATTGTTGTTGGCATATGTCGGCTTTAAAGAAATGCTATTTTCTATATAACTGATGAATGGAAGCTATACATAAAGTTTTTTGTATATTTTTATATAGGACATTAATAGATTGATTTTTCTCCTAATCAATTTAACATCAACATCTTCAACTTGGTAACTTGTAGTCCCGTCCATCATTGTCCTATGGTAAGCTGTCAATCTGATTGCATTTCTCAACCAATTCTTCTGACAAACTCCATTTAATTTGTCACCATCATTAACTCATAACTACCATAACTACTTTTGATTCTAAAAATTCATCAATGATATAGTGAATTGTACTCGTATTACTTTAGACACAAACTTCTACAAGTTAATTATAAATGTCTAAGCCTTTTCTTTTAATCATTGTTTGCATGCTAGCATGATATGAATCTTTTCTATATTACTTGAAATTCATTTGGAAATTTATGGTATAAAGTGTACTTTTGGAAGAAAAAGACACTGAATTCTCATCTGTTTACGTATGAATAGCGTGTACATTTATTATGTTCTGATAATAGACTTCATTTTAGTAGAAGCATACTAGGAATCAAACTTTGGCAAATCTTAGTGTAAAACACAAGCAAATGACAATGATGTACACACAAAACCTCAATAGCTGTCTTAGAAAAAGTGATTGAAATTGAACGCAACCCATTGATGTTACATCACTAGAGAACATTTTCAATCCTTTTATCAAACTGGGTCCTTCATTATTGTGCAAAGGTAGCAAAAGTAAACTATTCATGATAATGTTTTTTATTCTTTATCAACCACAGATCAGAAAGTGTCATTAAATATTTGATAGTACCTCATTGTGTTGTATATACACTTAAAAAAACTCACCTTTTTCATGATGTTTCATTTGTTATAGCAATACAATGAAACTCTCAAGATTTTTTCACAACTTTCAAGGAAACCAATTGATGAAGCTTCAAAGGAAAACAAGAGTTACCTCTTCAGTGACACTTGGTAATAATGTTCAAAGAAAGGCAACACTTGAGTGCTTGGTTAGAAAACTATTCTTTAAGTTGAAGAATTGCTGGAAACAATCTCTTGGGTGGAAAAGGAGGAGTCCACAGTATAGCTATGATCTTCAAAGCTATTGTCTTAATTTTGATGATGGCGCTTCAAATGATTGTATGATTCCATCTCATGTTTGTTGATGATTTTTTTGTTTTGATCTTTCTTATTTTTTGTTGTTGAAATATGATTAAGTTTATGTAGTGTTTGTTGTTGTTTTGTAGTCATATGATAAAGTACTATACAAATTGTATGACTGTAACATTTTTTGCGGTAATATATAATTGTAAATTGACTTCAGATCTTTGTTAATTTCATTTTTAAAAGATCTAAAATGTCTCGAATCTTTTTTTTTTCTTTAAAAAATAGTTTCCTCTTTTTAAAATGTCCCAATAATTTCATTTTAATATAATAAAAATAAGTTTTTGATCAATTTTTGGTTTAACTCCCGTTTTTTGCATGACAGTTTTTAAATTCAAACAAATCTGTTAGAGTTTTGATTTTCTATCTAATCAATTGGGCCGACTGATTCATTTTGATTTTGATTACTATGATAATAATTATTAATATTTATTTATTAAACAAATTTATAAAATTAATACATCCGTCGATTTATTATTTTCAATATTTATAATTTTAAAATCATGCAAAAGTTTGTTTCTATTTTAATATTAATTAATTTTTTCACTAAATGTTTATGTTATGTTTTTATTTTTTATTTTTTGAGAGATAAAAAGCATGAAATTCGATGAAAGAGAGTAAATATTTAGAAGGATGAAAATTGAAAATCATAAATTTAGTGAAAATTGAGTAAAAGGATTATAATCCAGTATAGACACACATTTCACCTCATATAATTTTATCACTAAGATGTAAAGCTGAGTATTGTTTTATAAAATACGAATTTTTGTTTATGTGTTCGAACAAATAAATCATACACTTTTTCACTCCGTTCATCCATAACAGAGGAGAAACTTAAAATTCTTTTATGATCTTTATGTTATCCCACTCTTAAAATCAAGGTAAAAATTCTTTTTTAACTAAGATAAAAGGGATTTTTTTTTTATTACAGTGCAAGTGTGTTTTATTGTTTATAGAATAATCATATTATTATGGACATTGGTTTTTTATTGTTACAAATATTTGTTGTGAAAATATTGAATTTTATTAAGTAAAGAAAAGATCAAACAAATTTAATATATTATAAATTTTAATTAAAAAATAAATTTTAATTAATAGTATATACATTTCACTCATTAATTAAATATGATTCTTAGAGTCATGCATTTCACTCATAAACACTAACTATATGTCTGAAAAACTAATACATCTTACAAATAGTATATACATGATCTTCCTTATTCTTTATTTATTAAATAGGTCTTTCCTTATCCTTATCGTGTATTTCATGTGAGAAGAAATATTATATAACCTAAAAGTAAAAATAAAAAGTGAATGTAAATTCTAACCAATATTTTATTTATGTATTTTGTATCTGTCATTATCTATCATTTATATGTTTTGTATCTGTCATTATCTATAAGATAATCGTTTTTAAATTTATGTTATGGAAACGCTCTATCATAAATGAGATTATATATTATAAATGTAATTTTTACGACTTTTGCAAAAAACCTTTAAATTATCTTTTGTAATTTTATTTAATTTATAATTTCTCGTTTTATGTTTTTTATAAACAAGTTCGAAAACCTTTAATTCTCGTTTCAATCCATAACTTGCTTACCAAAAAATTGATAATGTTTTTAAAGTATTTCATTAAGTTTTATAACATTATATATTATTACCTATAAATTATAAGTTACATAAAATTATATTGTGTTATGTTTTTTTTTAATTTTAAAAACTATTATGATCATGCACATGTTAATGTTAGATTTTTTCCATCATTTGTTGCATAGTGCTTTTCCAATTATTATTAATTTTTATAACTTTATTGGATTCTTATATGTGAGAATGCATCAATGCAATGTAACATTGTCTGAAACAATATAGGTGCATGTTCTAATTTTGTAAAATATGACGCTTACTAAAAGTCTAAAATTTAAAAAAAAATACATAATCATTGAAAATTATTAGTAATTTTAAAAGCTAAATTAAATAAAAAATGATTTGAAAATAATCATAAAAATTGCAATTATAATTTTTCTATCATTTATGACTCTAGAACTTTTTCGCTAGATCTCACAATCACTAAATAAATTGTAATTAAGTGTCTATTCACACTTAAAAAAAAATATAAACAATTAGAAATTTATATTTTGAAAATATTTTTATAATTTTAAGATTATCAAAATTTACTATGCATAAAACACTTGTTAAATCAATTAAAAAATTTGTAAAATCAATTATATATTCCATTTAATAAGTCTTGCAGTGTTAAGTTAGACTTTTAATCTAATTTAAAAATTATTTTTTTAAGTATGTTTGTTACATACCAATTTAAACTTTTTCTATTTTTTTTCTGCATAATATACCCACTATAAAATTCACTTTGAATCTAAAGGCATAATTTATAAGATATTATAGTATGCCAAAATTTTAAAAAGACTAATAATAAAAATATAAATATAAAACTAAATATTCAATTTCATACAAAAATAACATATAAGTACTATGACTAAATAAAGTTTTTCAAATTATATAGAATAATGTAAAAAAATTGAATCATTTGTATTTACATATAAATTTGTATTAAGTATAAGAATTAATGAGTAATGAAGGTACATGTAGCATACAACTATATGACATAACACTTTAAGATTATAAGATGCTGATACAATACCGCACAAGACTAAACTACCACTTGATACATTCTTCCATCTTAGGAGAACTTGCCTTGTCAGTAACCTATAATATAGAAGATGTCAAGAGAATACAACAATATTAGAAGGGGTTCAAGAGAATACAACAATATTAGAAGGGGTTACAACACTATTTTGTTGTTTCCACCTCTTGCCAATATTGAACTGTAAAAGATAATATTGTTATATTTTCGAATAACTTCTCAATATCTATCAATCAAAGAAAACATTCTATATTATATTATTTTCTTTGACTATCAACATTGAAAAATTAATTCCTAATCATATTGTAATATTGTTCACAAAACAAGATCTTGAAATATTAGTTTTGAATATAATCTTTTATTTCATTGTTGCAACGCATAAAAAAATTGGTGAATGGTAAAACATTGAAATATAAAGTAATACATGTTACATTCAATTGTTTTCATTCACGTTCTTTTGCAATAGAATTAATGTATTATCTCGGTTTGTTTAGCCACGGAGGAGAAAAGTCCATATTTTATTTAGTTTTTATTTAAAAATGAAATAAATTTTTTTACGCATTTTTTGTCTCAAATCAAAAGTAATCTAGATTATTGAGTTTCTTTGTCGTCCATAATCAAATTTTTGTCATCTATTTATTGAGTATGAATGCTCAACACAGTGCCAACATATTAATCCACATGAAACATTACTAATCAACGTACAACTGTCACAATACTCATTTAGAACGCTAATGACACACTATATATTTGAGTCACAAACATTGATAATGATTAAAATGTTAGGATTCTTCTTCAAAATTATACTCGTAGGTTTAAACAAAAAAAATGTAAAATTATAAAAACTTTTATTTCAATATATATATATATATATATATATATATATATATATATATATATATATATATATATATATATATATATATATATATATATATATATATATATATATATATATATATATATATATATATAGACACATTTCACCTCATATAATTTTATCACTAAGATGTAAAGCTGAGTATTGTTTTCTAAAATACGAATTTTTGTTTATGTGTTCGAACAAATAAACCATACACTTTTTCACTCCGTTCATCCATAACCGAGGAGAAAATTAAAATTCTTTTATGATCTTTATGTTATCCCACTCTTAAAATCAAGGTAAAAATTCTTTTTTAACAAAGATAAAAGGGATTTTTTTTATTATAGTGCAAGTGTGTTTTATTGTTTATAGAATAATCATATTATTATGGACATTTGTTTTTTATTGTTACAAATATTTGTTGTGAAAATATTGAATTTTATTAAGTAAAGAAAAGATCAAACAAATTTAATATATTATAAATTTTAATTAAAAAATAAATTTTAATTAATAGTATATACATTTCACTCATTAATTAAATATGATTCTTAGAGTCATGCATTTCACTCATAAACACTAACTATATGTCTGAAAAACTAATACATCTTATAAATAGTATATACATGATCTTCCTTATTCTTTATTTATTAAATAGGTCTTTCCTTATCCTTATCGTGTATTTCATGTGAGAAGAAATATTATATAACCTAAAAGTAAAAATAAAAAGTGAATGTAAATTCTAATCAATATTTTATTTATGTATTTTGTATCTGTCATTATCTATCATTTATATGTTTTGTATCTGTCATTATCTATAAGATAATCGTTTTTAAATTTATGTTATGGAAACGCTCTATCATAAATGAGATTATATATTATAAATGTAATTTTTACGACTTTTGCAAAAAACCTTTAAATTATCTTTTGTAATTTTATTTAATTTATAATTTCTCGTTTTATGTTTTTTATAAACAAGTTCGAAAACCTTTAATTCTCGTTTCAATCCATAACTTGCTTACCAAAAAATTGATAATGTTTTTAAAGTATTTCATTAAGTTTTATAACATTATATATTATTACCTATAAATTATAAGTTACATAAAATTATATTGTGTTATGTTTTTTTTTATTTTAAAAACTATTATGATCATGCACATGTTAATGTTAGATTTTTTCCATCATTTGTTGCATAGTGCTTTTCCAATTATTATTAATTTTTATAACTTTATTGGATTCTTATATGTGAGAATGCATCAATGCAATGTAACATTGTCTGAAACAATATAGGTGCATGTTCTAATTTTGTAAAATATGACGCTTACTAAAAGTCTAAAATTAAAAAAAAAATACATAATCATTGAAAATTATTAGTAATTTTAAAAGCTAAATTAAATAAAAAATGATTTGAAAATAATCATAAAAATTGCAATTATAATTTTTCTATCATTTATGACTCTAGAACTTTTTCGCTAGAT